ATAACTTTTCCAGTTTTTTGTGGTAAAATTAGGTGCCTCGGCTTATATTCGGGTCGGCCTATACTCGAGTATTTACGGTACATTAAAATGAAATTTCGTTGCATACAGCTCTCAAAAGGGTCTCCACCTCTAGTATATACTCCATAAACATGACAAAATAAATAAATACATAAATACGAAATTATGCATGTACCCACATGCATATTACATGACAGGGAGAAATAACACAGTTTAGTTTGGATGTATACATGTACATGGCGAAAGAAACGAATCTTGCGAGTTTACCAGACGGATGACATGGGGAATAAAGCAGTTACAGAATCTGGTAGTCTTCCTAGAAATACTTCAAACCCTCCTCCCAAGGGGGAGCAACAGAAACAGACCGTGAAGTGGATGTGTGGGATCTCTAACAATGCTTTGAGCTCTAAGCACATAGTGCTTATAAGCGGTATCGTGAAGGACAGGAAGCGAGCTTCCTATAATCTTCTCTTCTGTCCTTCCCACTCTCTGAATGGACTTTCTCTCTGAGGCACTGCAGCCACCAAACCAATTGTGATGCAGTTTGTTAAAACATTCTCAGTCATGCTTCTGTAAAAAGTGGCCAGGATAGAGGGAGAAAGATGCCCTCTCCTCATCCGACGTAGGAAATGCAGGCGCTGGTTTGCATGCTTCACTAAGGATGACCTGTGGAGAGACCAGTTCAGAATGTTAGTTATCTGCACCTGCAAATACTTTATACTGTTGACCACCTCTACAGCTGCATCCTTGATACTCTACTACCTCTACCTGGTACTACTTACTACCTGGTAGTCCAGGTAGATAAAAAAAGATTCTGCCTTCCCCTTCTGACTCATTGGGTCTACATGTCCCTTCTTTCTGGGCAAATAGTCTTGTTGATTAGAGATGCTATTGCCTTGCGTAGGTTAAAATGTAAAAGCAGAAGACGAACTTCCCACCAACTGTTGTATTTTTGCTGACAGCATGGAACGGTTTTCCTTGAATCACTGCCCCCCAAGTGTGTTGGATTACTGTATTCATCACTGCTAGATTTGAAAGTGATGGGAATTGTGGTCCAGTTCAATTAACTGACAGTAGAGTTGAAGTGTTGAAATGTGACATGTGTTATCTGCTGGACTATGACTCTGCTTCCCTTGGGTGGGGTGTAAAGAACAGAAACTTGTCTGAAGCTGGTGATTGTTCAAATGTGTTACTGCTTTTTCTTGTATGAACATGTCCTTAGAAAAGTATGCTTCTCTCATGTAAAAGTAGAATCTAAAGATTTTCTCCCTGCAAGTTTGATGCGGTGCAAGTTAATGTGACAGAAGCTAGCAGAAATGTTTTTCTTGTTCTGTTTGGCCTATTATGAGCAGAGTCTGTGCTTTTTCCTAACAGATGGATGACTTGCAAGACTTTACCTCCCGGAATATTGGAGAGAATCACAGAAACCTTCACGGATCGTTTCCGTTTTCCATGGATTCGAGGGGCTGTAAAGATCGATATCAGCCTCCTTCCGCCAATCATCTTGCTTCCTTTTTTCCTTCACATAGCAGCCTTGCACTTCCTTTTGGCCCTCATTATCCTGATATCGCTTCCTATACTAGTACTATGGTATTACTACCTCACACATAGGAAGAAAGGTCAGACTCTCTTTTTCTTAAGCCTGGGCCTATTCTCCCTAGGTTATATGTACTATGTATTTCTCCAGAAAGTGGTTCCCAGGGGCCATGTGGAATACAGTCAGGTGGCTCTTCTTACTTGTGGGTTAATTCTGATGCTTATAGCCCTACATCAAGCCAAGAAAGATCCTGGCTATCTTTTCAGCCAAATGAACAGCGACAAAACACTTCGCCAAGACAGTTGCAGTAATAACATGTTCAATAAGAATGGCCTGGGAAACTCCAATGGGCTTTGCAGAGTACCTGTCTCAGGTGTTGCTGTACATACTAACACTGAGAGCTACTCCGGAACATTGGAAGCAGAGACGAGCCAGGGCGCAAAAGACTGGTGCACCATATGCCAGTTGGTTAGACCAGCTCGAGCTGGACATTGCCGAATATGTGGCAGGTGTGTGAAGAGACTGGATCATCACTGTGTTTGGTACGTTTCTTAGTTGGCCTTGAATTTTTTCCTAACTCTTCTGTTTGCAGCAAGCTGTAGTTCTCTCTGAAATATTTTTCTACCTTGGTTTTATCTGTACATGAGTGGTTCCATTGACTTGTTATCTCTGTTGAACAGATTGTGTTCCTAAGCCTTTATCTTTAGGCTTTCTTGTGTTTGCCATTACTTGGGGAATTTCTGTTCAAAGTTACAAATATCAGTATTCCCATTTCTAACCAGAGGCGGCAGAAGTGAAATGCAGGGTTTTCTGCAAGTAAATCATACCATCAGGATGTAAGAGTTGAAGGAACTTTGGATATCATCTATTAAAGCCCCCTGTTTAATGCAGGATGAGCCACCGTGGAGCATTATCACTAATCTTCCAACTCGCATGAAAGAAACCAGAATGATTTCTTTCAGAGCTTCACGTATTCTTTAGGGTGGAAAATCAGAGTTATCTGCACACATCATCTTGGGCCTGTTTTCTGTGATTTAAATTGCCTCCATGGATATAAGGCTTATCAAAGATTTGGAATGATTTCTTTATTTAAAAAACTGACATGGAACTTGGCAGAGGTGAACAGAAGAGCAGATTGGGGCATTTAAGATAAGCAGACAGTGAATTGTGTGCAGCATTTGCTAACAATTTGGACAATTCTTACCCAAATGCCTTAGTGCAAGGCATTTGTTAAACAGCAAGCACATAGTCTTTGAAGTATATGAATAGAATTTATGCACATTTGGGGCATTCAATCTTTTGGAATATAGATTATAAACACTTCTGCTTGAGATTGTTCCTGTTTCAGCAATGAGATTTTTTTTGGGTAGTAGCTCCTCTTAAGCAATATAACATGCTGTTCCTGAATTATATTTACACAAGTGTCTCTTGAACCCCCCCCCCCAAAAAAAATCTGCTTTCTTTTCTCATTTGTCATGTGTACCTATCTTTTGTCCAAATCACAAAGTAGTTGTGTTTATTTTGTAAGCTGTGAAGAGACAGTTATTTCAGATTTTTTTAAAATGAAGACAAGTATTTAATGAGCACTTTAGATTCTACCTTTTTCTAAATCATGTTACTGTAATA